TCGACCTGTTCCTTCCAGATGTGGGATCGAGTTCGAGAAAGTCCGAGACTGAAGTTCAAAAGTCTCATGAAGCTGTCTACTTGTTTTACTCTTGATTCTCTAGTAAACATTATTAACGATTTCATCTGTTACCCAGTCCATAAATTGTACCATCCTTCAATGGGAGAGAGTGTTAACGTAGGCGTGTATATAGATACATTAGAGAGTGTGTCGAAGCACGTTGGCCTGGTCTGACATATATAGTTAGGTTCGTATGGCAAGACTATACCTATGCGCGCCTTGATCGCGTACTCTCGCTGCTTGGCAGTACGATATGCACTCACTTCGAGTTTGTCTGTACTAACGATCACATCTGCTCTGTTGTACGTTCCCGTCGACCTTTGTTTTGTCTTAACTGTAACGTGAATAAGCATTTAAACAAAAAGTCAGTTTGATAGAATTTATTGGCCTGCCACCATGTGCTAACCGTAGAAACATTATGTATCAACAAACTTCCACTGATGGTAATGTAGATTTATGTTTTAAGGGTAATGTTTGAATTAAAAACAAACCTATTGACTATTAGAAATCGACTTTTTTGAACTTGGTGCTTTAAGATTGCAAGCTTTTGCTTGTTTTGATCACGGTTGACATGATTTGTTTTTTAATACAAATTCACTGTATCAGCCAGCATCATCTATCAAGTTGATTTTATCCATTTTCTTGTGACGTACGTTTTTGTTCACTTTCACGTGTGTATTATTCAACCTACCAAGTTATAAAATGTTGAGTACATTACAAAAAAGAAGCTGCAGAAAAAAAAAAGTGAGAATGTATAAATGTAAGCTTTAATGGGAAAAAGGACCTTGGGTAAACGGTAACTTTTAGCATAGTTTAATAACTGCTGTCAAGTAAAAATTTCTGCAGCTGTTGTTTCCATTAATTTTTTTTTTTTAATACTGCTGCTATTACATGTTTAAATACGATACGTATTTTATATAAAGTTACCATTCATGAGACGAAGGATGATAAGAGGAGTACCGGTGGAAGCGCACTAGGCAGCAATGGCCTCTTTAAGAGCCTGCGTGTTTTTTGCTGTTAAACTGTTTATCATGTACGCAAAATTTCAATCTGTAGTTTCAAAAGTGATTGAAAAAGGGCCCTACACTTTGAGTTAGTTTTACTTCACCTCTTATGGTGCAAAAGCAGAAATTTCTCTCGCAGAAACGACTGCTCCTCAGCTCACTGAAAACATAACGTCACCGACACGTGGCAACCAACTTTACTCTACTGTAGCAGATCAAAACCACTTTTCCACCAAAAAAAATGCTATTATACTCGACTCTATCGATGGAACTTCGATTTACTCATATAAAGTAGCTATTGGTCAATTAGTTGAACCAAAAAATGTTAAACTTTCGTCTCGTAAATCACAAAATCGAGTGTGTTTATACCTCAGCTCTGAAAGTATCGTTAATGAGTTAACGGGTAAAAAAGTAAATGTGGAAGGGCATGATCTTATAGTGAGGCTCCTAGTGTCTCAGGCGCGACGCATCTTGATCTCAAATGTCTGTCCGATAATGCCTCACAGTGTAGTGATTCAACAATTGATCAAACTCGATATCAGCCCTGCATTTCAACTGACTTTATTAAAAGCTGGCGTTAAGCAGCCTGGGTACGAGCACGTTTGTTGTTTCAGACGACAGGTATATATAAAACCATAAGATTTTAACAAGCTCCCCCCAATCTTCAAATTCGCTTTGACGACACCAATTATTGAATATGTTTCACTACTGGAAAATGAATTTGTTTTCAATGCAAAGAAGAAGGGCATATAGCTAAATATTGTTAGTCTGAGCTCTCTCTAGCTGCTTTTGCAAATTTATCAGATCACATAGCTTCTGCGGGTAACTCAAAAGTTACTGGCAACCAGTCTGCTGATACCGACAAAAATGAAGATGTTAGTTCATAAAATACTGTAAATAATGAATCTCAAGGTGCAGTTGGCTTAAACTTTACCACTTTTCCTGTACCAATAAACAAGAAAAGACCCGCTTATACCTTTGATACGTCATTGCAAATTAATGAAAAGAAATTTTCATTAGATATGAATAACATTACATTTAAACCTACAAAAAAGAACTAAAATCACCGTTCAACAAGCTAACCTTACTTAAATTCAGAAACAACTGGAGCCTACTAGGATCTACGTTGAAATGAGTAATGCAGAGTACCCAATAAATATCTCAGAGTTATCTGAGTTTTTGGTAAAATGCTATGGTTCCAGTAAACCTTGTGATGTCGCTCTCCAGCTCACTAATGACATTCCAGGCCTTATTCACATGCTTTTGGATGTTAAGAAAAACATCCTAGGAAATAATCTGAAGTCACTCATTTTTAGAATTCTTAAAAAATTATCTAACCAAGACGAGAAATGCAGTGAAAGTTCTAGTTTTTGTGAAGAAGACTTTTAATTTCTTTTCTTATTAAGAAAAAAGAGAGAGAGAAAAAAAGAAGAAGCTTATTCGTTTGTTCCTTATTGTAAATTGTTAATGTGTACAACAATTTTGAAAATATTATATTGGAACACCAAAAGTATTACACGAAGACAGTGAAACATTCTATATATCTCGAGGAAATTCGATATTATTATTTGTGTTGAATCCTGGCTCAATCCAAAGGACCGTATCCACGTACCTGGTTTTCTGACTCTCAAAAAAGACCGGCTTACGGACAAAGGAGGAGGCATCATATTTTTCATACGCAAGAACATCAAGTACTTCAAGCTATGCGACTTGGTCTCCCCTGATCCATCAGTTGAACTCTGTGGCATTCATCTTATTGATCTACAACCCCTGCTTGACATTTTAGCGTGTTACAGATCACGTACTACTCTGACTCAAACTCAATGGGACAGTATTTTTAATAATATTTCAAATACACACTGCCTTGTTGTTGGTCATTTTAACTCACATAATATTTCGTGGAATTTTGACAAAACTTACTGTAATAGTCAGTTCTTAGAAAATTCTCTGGATAAATTTGATTTATTTCTACATAACAAAAATACTTATACGTACATTGATATTCACCGAAACTATAAATCCAACTTCGACTTAATTTTGTCCACTTTGATTTGAATTGACAGAGTAAATTTTAAAGTTTTGGATGAGACTTATGGTTCTGATCATTATCCAAAATCTATTTCTTACTCAACTGAAAAGTACGAGTTCTCAAGAAAAACTTCTAAAGCTTACACTAAGCGTACAAATTGGGATAAATTTACTAAAGTACTAAAAGAATCTATTGTAAATTTTTAACACAACTGATTATTCAATGCATTTTGGATTCAATTAAGGACTGTACACCTATTTCTTCCAAAAATTCTATGGTAAATAAAATCGTAAAACAAATCCTGTTCTGTGGTGCGATAATGAATGCGACAAACTCGGAAGTTTAAGACAAGCTGCTTTTAAAAAATTGGAGTTTACAAGTGACCTTGAAGATCTTCCTTAGGAATTAAGCTGCCCATTCAAACTTTTTCCTTATCATAAATACATCGTTTGCCTCATAATTTGTACAACAAAGGCTGAATAAGCACTGTTTTATATTAGAGCAATGTTAGATAATGTGATTTTGGGAACTTGTTTCTCAAAGATTTGGTTGGTAAAAAATTTTGAAAAAATTAATGTGTACTTTAAGCAAGTTGAAGTACAACATTATTGTTTTTCAAATAGTGAATACATCCTAATCAATAATTTATTTTTAATTTTTTTTACTGTAGGGAATTTTCCATTTTTTCCTGGATAAAACGCTCACTATTCGTTCAACACATTAAAAAATATCTCACAAAAAAATATTTATAAATTAAATAAAAAAAGCTATTAATCGAAAGAAGTCGCGTTGATGCTGCAAGAAGAAAGAGATATGTGCCTCAGATAAGAACAAAAGGGAAAATAACCCAGAATCTTGTTGAATAAATAAAAAAAGGCAAACGGAAAAGTATTATCTAAAGATTGACTAAATAAAGGTAAAATTAAAAGTGTGAGTATACAGACAGAAGAAAAGTAAAGATGTTGATTAATTTTCAAAACCTTAAAAAGAAAAACAAACACAATTGAATGACTGCTTTTCTAGTAAAGACATTGCACAACCACTACAGAAGTAACAGAAAGCTAAAACACAGATAAAAAAAGTTGTTTTCTTAGTATGGCCAAGATAACTTTTCATTTTTTAAATGAAACACTCTGCTACAAGAGAAATCAAAGTAACATAAAAAAATGTAGAAAACCTTCATAAATGTCTTAAAATAATAATTTTTAATTTGGGTATGCTTTGTCACAGATATAAAATATAATACAAAAGGAAAACAATAATGTTGATAATGAAATATTTTTAGCTAACTTTTCAGTGTTAAAAAAATTTTTTTTCCAGAAATTGACTTTTAGTGAATTGCTTAGTTTAAGAAGAACATCACATTAAATAAAATATGTACATGTATAACATTTGCTTAGCTGCGAGAGTGTTCTTCCTCAGCTTTCTTTTACTGTCCTACTACTACAAAAAATCACAAAATTACAAATACTCCATCAGTAATTGCTAAAATAAACTTACAGTACAATATTATACGATAATCATATAAAAATCTTAGAGTAATGTTTGGTTATACGTATAAGTATATAAAAACAGTATTCCAATAGTTGTCGATAGTAATGCTTCGATAACAAAATTCCATAAGAAATCCATAATTTCTGCAACTGACTGTCCCATTAAAAATCTTGAAAACTTAGCAGTTATAAACAATTAAATCAATGAAAAAATAAGTTGTCTTATCCCGTGACTTCTTTAAAGATAAACCATTGATTTTTTCATTTAAAATGTGGTTAAAAAATTGATAATATATGATTAATTTTATGAGCATTTGACTTACAGTAGAGTAATGACTTCATTTAACGAGTACGAAAAAGTAATTTTTTAACAAAAGAAATGTTTTAAGCTATTTTGTTAGAAATTAAATGTACCTTCTTTGCTGACGCAGCACAGCATGACTCACAAAATGAAGATAAAGATTGTCGATAAATCTGGGTATGACAGTTTTGATTATTTCTTGTATGAAAGTTTGGTTGATTTTGTACAATGCATTGCGTCACATTAATTACATTTTCTGATGTCATAGCATTTGATGTATTTGATACACTAGCTATAAAATTTGATGAAGACAAACCATTTTTTTCAATGATCCTTTGATTATTTAGGCAGTCATCATATTCAGAGCTAGAGTTGCAGTCTCTGATGTCATCTGAAATAAAAGTCAGTTGTGTATTCATGCATATAGAATAATTACCATCCTATAAATTAATATTACATTCTACTATTTATTTAATCAGCGTGGCGAGAATAACTGAATGGTACACCAAAATGTATTGACACGTAACGTAAAAAATTTTTAATTGGAAATATTACATTTGTTCCTGACACTTCTCAGAAAAAAAAATCTTCTTGTTAAAAACATATTTTTTCAGAATCCACGCAGTTTATTTTGTCACATAAAAAGCTATAGAAAATTTAAAAAAAAATAACTACGCCGAGAAGTGATGTGCGTTCCTTACGCCATTAATTACAGGTTCTAAAAAGCCGTTGATTGGCACTTCCTTATATTTATAAATGAAAAGGGCTATTTGTTAGAACTATTAATATATACTACTGACAAAAAATGTATGATAAAAAAAATTGTGTTTTCCAAACTTACAACTTTGTTACCAGAGAAAAAAAATTCTGAAGCTTTATCCCTTTATTTTATACTGCCACAATACATACAAACATACATCATTCTACCTATTTAAAAATCTGGAGAATTTAGGTGATTACTGTCAGAGTTATATTATGAAACTGATCTCTCACGTAATAAATTCGTTATTTATCGTTTTTAACGCTGCTGTTTCAATCTCGATGAATTTTCTGTGACAGTTTCTTGATGCTTAAAATTGTATACACTTAAAACATTTAAGATTTTTTTTCTTATTCATTCTCTTGCGACTATTGGCACAGTTGAAACTTTTGTGAGCCCTAAAGGCTGTTTTTTGTCAACTTTGTTAAGTTGTAATATATTTGTTGGAGAGGTAGTTTGACGTTCAATGGCCCTAAAAAAGACCATTGAGCTAAACACTTTTTTTACTCAAGTTTCCAACAAACGTGACTGCCTGTTAACCTTAGGGTGAGCTTTCTAGTCTAATGTTGTAGCACCAGACAGACCCGTTTTCTCAAGTTAATTTTTTCTTCATCGTTGTAAAGTTTGTCTAGTGCAGACCTCATAGATAGTAGGTGATTCCTGATTGGATGTTTAGAGTCAAGAGGATAATGGAGAGTAGCTGGTGATTAATATGCCCAACCTGATGGCAAACAACTTTGTTCGTGACGTCTGCCAGTGAGTAACTGACTAAGTTTTACTGAGGCTGGATTTATGTAGTCTTTTAGTCAACGAATCGTTGCCAGAAGTAATAGTCAAAATATTTCTGTTGACAAGGTAGTTTAATGTTTTATGGCCCTAAAAAAAAAACCAATAAAATTGATGGTTAATTAGAAAGCGTCAATACTTATGATGATCCTGAAAAGGGCCAGTGGTGATTTTTAGCCGTTACTTATTATTGCAGCAAATAGCTTGAGTCTTACCCTTGGAATCTCTGCGTACGGATACTGTTCTGGAAGGAGGTACGCCGCTGACAAAAAAATATCTCGTCCTTAGGTCGTTTCTCTGGATAACCAACTACTCATCGTTAGTTAAAAAATTGGGCTGGGAGAATACCTTCTATATCAGCATGCTGTAGGGACGAACCGCTGAGGAGGAAGCCGTTATGGCCGCTTGAAGTCCTCAAGGTTATTTTCCCGTGCTTGAGAGTGAAGTAAAATCTTCTCTAATAGCACTAGGTCAATAGAAAAATGACCATGGAACCCTTAAATTGCTAGTTCAGATTGTGCTCTGGCTAGACATTTCCTGGTATTTCACCGGAGACGTTAGCGGTCAGAATGCCGTTTTGTCGGTGGTACTTGTCAATTTTGGTGGTTTAAGAAGAAGATTGACGTTGGTTGGTATTCGGTACTTTGCTCAGGAATATCTTATAACTCTTGTTTGTTAAGAGTTCATCTATAAAATCTCCAAATGCCGCTTTATTTAACGAATATTTTTTAGATGAACCCTTGACAAACAAGAGCTTTTTAAAAAAATTAAGCTACGTGACGCCAAAACTTTTTTATGACCGTTTAACAAAAGGACCTTTTTTTAGTTTTCTTAGCGGTTTGCAAAATGTTTACAAACTAATCCTTCTAATACATGGTGTATACGTCAAGATTATTAATACCTACCATGTGTATAAATTTTAGCTCTTAGTATTCATTAGAACGCGAGTTCTTGAATTTTTAAAAATGGCCAAAAATGACAATTTTTTGCAATTTTTGAGAAAATGGCTAAACTGATAAGAGCTCAACGTTACTTAATCTTTTTGTCTTAGAATTACGCAATTTTTTTGTATGATACTTTTTTTTAACGATTTTTTTTTTCTAGGCAGGAAAAACCTGTTTTGGCTATTTTTACCATTTTTTGTGACCCTTTCCTGAACTCTTTGGGTGTTTGAAAAAAGCAAAATTTGTTATAAATTAAAAAAATGGCGATGATAATTTTTTCATGTCACTATTAATTTTCCGAAATTTCAATGAATTTGAAGCTCATTCTATTACATTGTAGACAAAATTCTCAGATCCACGTGTGCTTAAGAACAAACTCCCTTTTTAGAACGTAACGCGAGTCGACAGAAGTAGTCAGAAAAAGCTTTTTCTAGACACTTTTACAGATATATATCATACGGCTGACGCCAGAGGCGTGTCCTACAAACCCTTTTTTCGCAGACGTCACGTAACCAGAAAGGTGGGGGAGCCAAACCAAAAACACAATAACCTTGAGAATTTGTTGGCACCAGGTTTCATGCGTAATTTAAATATAATTATCGACATTGTTCAGCCAGTAACAATAGGTTTTTTTAAATTTGAGTGAAAAGATTCAACTCAATTTATTGTTTAAATTGCATACAAGACCAATGTGGAGCTCCTTACAATAATATTAAATAGGACCGTGCAAGTGAGGAAAATTCGGTAATGATAATATCAGTTTATAATTATTATTGTTCCTAATGCCAATGTCAATCATATTCATGTTTTTTTTAGGTATTTATTCTTTTGTTTGAAAATTTATCAATTAGTTTTTGAGGACAGTTGTAAGCTAGTAAAAATTTATTGATTAATTTCAAATTTTTGTTATGGAATTGAACGTCTGCTTATTTAGTGGAAAAGTCTACTAATGTGTAAATGATCCTTTTTTCTGTTGCATTGGATGGTGAGAATAAATTCTAGTATTAACCTGAGTATGTGAGTTTTTGGTACTAATAAGTCAGTGCTATGTTATTTTCTTGAATGATAATTTCTAAATCTAGGAAACTAATGCTGTTGTTATTAAATGCCTCAACAGTGAATTTTAATTCCGGACAACAGCTATTAAAAATGTTTTAAGTATAGTTAATGTATTAAGTAGGCACACATATGAGAACATCATCAACATACCGCACATACAATGGAACATCAAAACATAACTTCTCTAAGCATGAAATTTCAAGCAAACGCACAATAAGATCACACAGTACTGGACTACAGGGACTGCCCATTGGAGAGCCAAATACTTCTTTATAAAATTTGTTGTTAAAATGGAAAAAAGTTAAATTAAAAATTAAAGAAACACCTGTGCAAAATTCATTGAGAAAAACATTCATTTTACCATTCAAAAATTTCCAAAAATGTCTTATTGCATTTATGATTAAGGCTTCACTAGTATTAGTAAATAAAGTAACAACATCTAGACTAATAAAAGTGTAACCAGGTTAAATAATAATATCTTTTAATTCATTTTTCAACTCATCACTATTTTTTACGTGCAATTTCACCAGCACAACATTTTTAATCAAAAACGTAGAAAAAAATTTTGAAAAAATATAAGTAGGTAAATTCAGTGTCTAAATAATGATACGGATCGGAAAGTCTTTCTTGTGTATTTTTTTAAGTCCGTAGCATTTAGATAAGTTTTTTTAATGAATATCTTTATCAAGCTTATTTATTTTATCAAAAATACCGTATAAAATACTAATAAAACATGAATATGATTGACATTGGCATTAGAAACAATAAGAATTATAAACTGATATTATCTTTACCGTATTTTCCTCACTTGCACGGTCCTATTTAATATTATTGTAAGGAGCTCCACATTAGTCTCGTATGCAGTTCAAACAATAAATTGAGTTCAATCTTTTCACTTGGAAAATATGTAACCAAGCCACTCGTTAAAAATAATGTCGTTTACCACATTCCATGTGCGAATTGCAACTGCTGTTATGTGGATCAATCATCAAGAGCTGTAAAATTAAGAGTGGCAGAACATAAAAGATACATAGAGAAAAAAAAGGATATATCTGTACTATCACAACATAGCATTAAATCTACACACAATTTTAAAATTGATAAAATAGAAATTTTAGACAGAGAAAAAAATTATAAAAAGCGGCTATTTTCGGAAATGTTAAATGTACATTATTTCAATAATAATATTAATAGACAACACGATAGAGAGAAATTGAAAAATTGTTACAAGTCTCTCGTTAATTCAATTAAGAAAGGAGGCTACCTTGATGTACATGATTTGAGAGCCTCTTTTATTTATGGTATTAGGAAAACATGATATGTTTACGTATGTCTTACAAGGAACTGCTTGCGATCCTTATTTGATTGTAATGTGTGCATATATTGTGTCATTTTTATATGCACAGAGTATGGAAGCAACAAAACTTGTAACTCTGACTACATTTCAATTTTACATCTCCTTCGTAAGAGTCAGAGGTATATTATACACTTAACTTAATTTGCGTTTATTGCATTCACCAAAATTTGTATTGTAAAGAATTTTTTTATTACTCATAGATTTTTGTACCTGATGAGGGCCGGGACATTGTCCAAACAGCCCAAACGTCGTTTTGTTTTTTAATAAATACAAAATTTCACAGTACCACGATTGGACGTTATTTTAATTAAAAAGAAAAGTATTTAGTTCTGTGTAAATACAATGATTGTTTTTTATTGCATTTTCTTTTCTTACAAGATTCAGAGAGGTGGGAGAAATGTATGCAGCAATGCCCGGAAATTTTTTGCTCATATGGATAAGCTTACATACAAGCTTTAAAACATACTTAATTTCTTTTTTCTATT